AGATTGAAACTTTTAGAAATGGCTTGGTATGTGACGCTAGAGGATTAATGACAAAATGTTTAACGATTGACAAGCGTGCAGATGTATGTAGAAAGTGTTCGTTATGGGCACAGAAACGTAAAATGATATGAGTATATCAAAGTTTTTTTTTTAAATGTTTACGAAATACGCACATGCAAGCAATTCTATTTGTATGTGCAACAGCTAAACAGTTATAAAATTCATCTGAAAACATTAAAAAAATGAATACTTGCAATGATAATACTTTAAATTTTTTTTAAATTATTAATCAGAATAAGATCCTTTAATAAAAATAAAACATGAAAAAACCTTGAAAAAATTTGTTTACATTTAGGAGAAAAATGTATAAATGAAAAATTGAGGAGTGGATTAGCGTTGAGTTGTATGGAAATAATAAAACCTGGAGATGCGGATGTGCAACACACAAAAGTCGCAATGATGTCAGGGTTATAAAGATAAATTCTAATGATACTTTTCATTTAATAATGAAACATGATGCTGCTAAAGTAACCTTTTATATAGAGTCAATAATTTTTGTTGAAAATTAGTTCAGAGTGTGAATTTATTTTTTAAACAGTTTTTTGTATGAAGAATTGAAATGACATTATAGAAATAAACAAATGAATATGATAATTTTTTTTACTGTATTTATTTAGAGTGGCTGGTTGTTCTGAGTAGTAGTGTTTTGAATATGTCGTCAAAACACACACACACATACACACACACACACACACACACACAGACAAAAAACACACACAAGCCATGTGTACACTACTTAGGGTTGAGTAGTGTTAGGGTGTTATGAAGTACTTCCAACCTGGTATATGATTAAGCACCTGTAATGCAATGTTGCAAATGGTCTTACATAAATATTCTTTAAACGTACACACACACGCATGCACACAGACTTTTTCTCTCTCTCTCTCACACACACACACATACAGACAAACATAAAAACTTTATTTGAACTATAATATTTGGATTTTTTAGTCTTTTTTTCTTCCTTACAATCATTCTCAAGTTAGTAACAAATTGACGATGGTCATCATAATCATCACCGTTAACGTAATCCGTTTCTAAATAACGATTATAACTACGATGATGATGGTGCTGATAATGATGAAGAGGATGATGCAGATGATGATGACGCTCAGAGATTCTGAGAATGGAATTTATGCCGCTTAAACCACCCACGTCATGTTGAGCTTCTGGTGACGTGCAAAAATGGAAACCGGATGAAGTGTATGACACTTTTGAGTATCCACAACAACGGTGACGTCATCGTCGTTGTCATCACATCATCGTCATAATTAATGTCATCGCTAATATTAGCGTCATCATTAATGTCCTCCTTATCATTAGCCTAAGCATAATATTGCAGTTTGAGTTAATATTATCATCTTCTTCATCCCCTTCGTCATCATCTTCATCATCATCCTCGTCATCACCGTAATAATTACTTTTTCCTTATCATCTGATATCATCACAATTTATTATTTCCCTTCTCCCTATAATTCTTATCATTGTTATTGCTGGTAGTAGGCCTAATAGTGTATTGTTGTTATTATTTTTCGTATTATTTCTCTCATTCTTAATACAATGCTTATATTTTTTTGCACCGTAAATCCATCCATTATTTTCATTTCTACGTCTCTTTTATCCCCCCTTTAATTCCATTTTCAATTCTTATTATTATTGTTATTATTTGGTCATTATTATTGTAGTTGTTGTTAATGTTGTTGTTGTTTATGGCACTGGTGTTATTAATGCTATTATACATAGCTGTTGGTACTGAATTGTTGTTGCTGGTACTGCCGTTACTGTTTGGTAGTGCAGTGTTGTTGTTGCTTGTTGAGGCTATGAATGTAGTTGTTGATGCGTTTTTCAGTGATGTCGCAAAGGAAGTTGTAGTTTTGGTTGTTATAGTTGTTGTGGTTGTGGCTGTTGTAGTTGATGTCGTCGCTATTGTCGTCATCGTCATTTTTACAGGCTTTGGATAATCTGCGTGCTTGTTTCTCGTGGTATTTCATTGTTCTGAATATTGTTATTACTGCTAAGATAATGAAAATATTCGGTTATAAGGTATTGTTTTTGCTATTGGTTTTCATTATAATATTATTCATTACAATGTTAATTGCTGACATTTTTTTAAATTTTCAGTTGAGAAATGTTATTAATGTTAGTCAGAGTCATATTTTGAACGCGAGAATTATTTATTTAAAAAGCAATTACAGTTATTGAACGTTTATTTGAATGCCAGCGGTAGTGGAAACACTCAACTAATCCAAGTAACTGAGTAAATCAAATTTACAACTATGCATCAAACCTCGCTCTAAACCTCGCTTATATAGAACCTTATATAGCCCCTACGGTAGATTTTTAGCATGGATTCGATACCTTTTTACAATCTACTATGGTTTACAATAGAAATATTACAAATATAACAAAGATAACAGTTAGGATAACTAATATTATAATGCAATTTGATCATTTCGGCGGTTATAACATTATTATAACAATTTTAAATGAATAAAATATTTTAATTGAGATTTTTTAAACTTTTCTTTACCTTTGCACATTTCTCTTGCCATTTTGTTCAAGAAAGAATTGTCCTCAATTGGCTCACCAGAAATTTTAAAAACGGTAGAAACCAATTCAGATGGTTTCTGAGTAAATAATTTTTTTTATTTTTATCATTAGTATACCTCAAAGATATCGGTCAAAAACACGTTGCTGCCAGTAAATCAACGTATCAAATGTGATAGACGGAGATCGCTTTGCGTTTGAATCCGATCATTGCAACAACAGTGCCAGCACTTTAACCACTACACCATCGCTCCGCACAATAATATTAATTTCAATAAAATTATCTTACATCCATGACAGAAGATTCAGGCACTGTAATTTTTGCGGGCTCCATGGCTTTCGATCTGTTGAGGGGGCTTATGAAGCAGTTTGTCCCAATTTTCGAAGCTATTTTCGTCACTTTTATGTCCTGTAATTAAAAAAATCCATTAAAAAATGTTAATCATCTAAATTACTGAAACTCTCACTAAAATGAATATTTGCTAAAATTATTCAGTAAAGAATAATAATAAAAATTATTTCTAATTGAAATTTATACCACAACGTTAAGTGAAACATCGAAACTTTTTTCTCATCAATGAAATTATTTCAAAAGTTTATTATTTTTTCTACAGTATTTTACAGAGTTATCATCAATAAACAACACACATCGCATGTAAATACGCGTCAACCAGACGCATCACACAAGCATGGGGTAGGCGGAGGTCTCTTTACAATCGAACCCATTCACTAACAGAAGAAACAATGCCAGGCATTTTAACTATTACTCCATCACACCGCTAAAAATCTACACAAAAAACTTGTTCTGACTGTGTTGAAGTCGTTGACAATCCAGGCTTCCTGGTTGGCGTCTTGGACATGGTACTTGACGACATTCTCGATAGGGTCACTGCTCACAACCTGGGTGTGTCCATCCAATGCCGTCAATTTGAACTATTTGAGAAGGAGGACATTTTTTCAAATTATTTTATGATGAGAATTATTCTGTGAACATGAGTAACCATTTTATTTTTCAAAATAGTTGTGTAAAACGATTTTTACAGAAAATTATTTTTTATGGGAAACAAAAGCATCCCTCACCTCAATCATCTTGCTCTGGACACCGACGTAGGCAAGTATGCCGGCCACAGCGCATATTATCAAGATGACCAGCAGCACGAAGCTTACGATGACGCCCACCTTAAAATGCTTTCTTTCCGACAGTTTCTGCTTTTCAAATATTTATTTTCAACTAATATTCTAACAAAATTTTATTAATTTTATCTATTATGAAATAATTTTAATTTTTTTTCAAATTTATAAGGAAAAATACAAAAACATGCCGGAGCTTTAGGTTGCTCGACGATGACAACCGGCACTTCTTTGCTTGGTTCGAGTTTTGGCTTCATTTCTTTTTCATAAAGTTTTAAAACAAATTTCAACTTTGCATATTCTAAAAAATTAAATAATAATGAACAGTTTAAGAATTCGCATCTACTTATACCATTTCAAATTACATACACCAAAATTTTACGCTTCCTTCTTAGGTGAAGTACTATATTTTAATACTTTCTATATATATACATATATATATATATATGTTTGTGTGTGTCTGTGTGAGTGTGTGCGTCTGTGATTGTGTGTGTCTGTGTGTGTGTGTTTGTTCTTGTGTGATTTGAAAAAATGCGTTAGACATTTGTACCCGCTCGAATGGCACGACAAAGAAGCTCATTGTTTGGCAGCAACATGATTCAAGATTTAATTTTTTAAAATAAAATTTTTACACCAATAAAAATTAATAAATATATTTATTTTCAATATAATTAATGTTAATTAATTATATAATAACCAATAATCATTATAAACTATTTTTAATTTGACAGAGGCGAATTTATATATTAACCTTTAAAAATATTGTTTATGTAAGTATTCTTAATGTTCGTCCGTGTACGGACATGGCAGCGCTTTTGATTCTGCGCATTTTCGAAACAGTATAAATCAAAAAAAAACATCGAAGCTATGTCCAACTGACATTTTGATTCTTCAAAAGACTTGTTAAAAATGAAAAATAATAACAGATTAGTAATAATACTATGAACAATTTGGTATAACAAATATATAACAACGATAACAACAACATCAATAATAATGATAATCATATAAGCAACAGTAAAATATTTACCAAACATTTTATTGTATTTCTCAACAAAATGGAATTCATTTAAAAATATAATGATGCCATAAATTCAAGTCATTCATTCATTCACCAAAGTTTAAATTGCGCAGCTTTAATTTTATTTACAAGATACGGCACAGATAATGCTAGCTAACCACTAACCAGTGGCGGGTCGGAGTGTGAGGTTTTGCCATCTGATAAGTTTTGACTCAGATTTTGTTCGTTTTTCTATAATATGAAAAATTTAATTTTTGTTATGTGGCTCTTACAAACCATTTCCAACTTAGTTACAATTCATTTTTTTTTATCACACACACACACACACACATCACAGGCGCATGCACATATCCACACCGCACGACGTTCGCACGTGCACATTTGTAAGTGAGGTACACAACACACCACATAAGTGCACGTTTAATCAAGCAGAACTAAAAAAGTCACGTACGGATATCATATCTGTTCTCAATTATACTAAACAATTATATCATTTTTTATTTACAGTTATTCACGCACACATACAAACATACAAACACACTGTCACTCACAATTTCAAATGGAAGCCCGGGTAAAAATTTATAAAAACTGCAGTTTGGTTGCAACTATTAACACACATATAGTAATCTACAATAATTAGTTATATTATTTTTTTAGATAAACCAGAAAATTACTAAAATTTGTTTTTATTAAAATTCCTCATCATGTCAAGATCATTCCGTGAAAATATAAAAACAGCAGTACATTAAAGAAGTCTTGGAGAAGTTAGAAGCAGGCGGCATTAATTCACACAGTTGCATCCTACTTCGTTTCAATAGGACTCCGACACTTTCTACACAATTTTGTCAAATATTTCACTTTTACGAATCCGCAAAAATTTTTTTTGTGAACATTTTTAAACTAAGTCAAACAACTTTTCAATTTTTTCATGTCAGCTGTTACATACAGAATTCGTTTTCAAAATGTAAGGAATTTCAGGCATTTTTCAATTGAATAATTTTCTATCATGAGATTATTGAAGGTTGAAAATTTTAATAAAAACTCGATATTTCACACGTACGTGATTAAGCAGATACACAAACACACACACACATAAAAACACACATACATACACATGCATGCACTTACATATACACGCACACGCACGCAATCTCCATGAGAAGATAGATTGCATTACATGTTAATACAATTCATTTCACAGTCTTACATTGGGACACAGGGCGCTCTAGGATTAATATTATTACAATGCTGATACTTTTTCACACAGAAATGGACATCTCCTTTCCTCTTTCTTCTAACAAACAACTGATTCGTCACATGTGCTAATGTTGATTGAGTTTTCTACAATGCTACATGGCTTTCTTTCTCAAGTTACGCGTGTGTGTGTGTGTGTGTGTGTGTGTGTGAGGTTTGTGAATGTGTGTACATACATATGTGTGTTTGTACTTGTGTGTGTGTGTGAACGACTTCGCTGTTTTGAATGCTTATTACATGTACAATAAACTTTGTGCAACTTTGTTGACTCGTGAAATTGAAATTTTGCCGGAGCGCTGTTATTGCAATATTATTTCAATTTTTGTGCTCCGTTACATCGAGCAAATGAACTTTTACGATCTCCTCTCTAGACTGCTGCTGCTGCTGCTACTACTTGTCGTCGTCTGGTCTACTCTCTTTCATATGTTCGGTTGCAGTATTTCGTTTTTTCATCTTTTTAAAGTAAACATTTTTTAATAATTTGTTAGCATTACATTCGGGTTTTGTACTTCTTTTTTTATATAAAATCAGCATTTTTAACACAGAGTTGGGCTGTTCTTTTTATGATGATAAGTTCAAAACTATTCAAAATTATCGCAATAAACGATTTTAAAATATGTTGCCTTCAAGTGATTAACATTAAAAATATCTACAAGATAGTTTAGCATGTTATGAGCTTTTAATTTTTTGCATGATAACAATGATAAAGATGAAAATATTGTTCACTCATATGATGATGAATGTGATGTAAAAATAATTTTTAACACGCGCGTCTTCGAACAAAAAAAACTGCTATTATTTGAAAAAGTTGTAAAAATAAAAAAAAATTTGAAAATTATATAAAAATATTAAGCAAGAAAAATTAGTTGACTTTTCGCTATTGTTTGTTAATTGCAAATGCAACCGGAACTCGCCTGGAAAGAAAACCCTTAAAAGCACTCAAACCTTCATTCGTGTGCCTATTTAAGTATGTGTGTATGTGTGCTTCATATATATGTGTGTGTAATTGTGTGTGTGTGATGTATGTAGTATGTAGGAACATTGAACATTTGAATGTTTGTACCAGAGTGTTGCAGTATGATAAAAATTTGTTTGATTATTCGAGTGAAAAGTTCTTTGATTTTGGATTCCAATTCATAGAATGTTTAAGAAATTTTTTTCGCAATTTTAATTGAAGACCACGACCTTACATTTGAAGTAACATTGAAAACTGTTACTTGAGAAACCGATCACAAATAGTGATCTACTACGGAAAATTTATTTCAAATTCAATTTGCTCCCAAAGATTCAACTCAAGACCTTTCATAGCAAGTTTCATTGTGTTTTTTTTAATTTTCATATTTGTGGCAGCAATCATGATGTTGAAAATGAATTAACTTAAGTGATTATGATCAATCAATCAATCAATAAGTTTGTAAAGCGCTATTTCCGCAATGTTCAACAGCGCTTCTCAATGAATTTTGCAAACAGATGGGTCTTGAGATTCGCTGTAAACTTTGTAAGTGATGGAAAAGTATTTAGGGAAGGAGGTAGAGAGTTCCAGAGAAAGAAAACCAGAAAAAGCAAACGCGATTTAGTAAAAGAGTGTTTAACACGAGTTAAGAAGTGAGAACAAGAAGAACAATAATAACTCATTTGTGGCCATGTCACGATGTTAATGGCGTAAATGGTTAAAGTAATTATATGCAGTAATAAATATTAAAATATTTAGAATAATCTTCTCGATTACTTTAATATTTTTTTAAGTAAAATATACCCAACATTCTTTTGACATTCACCCATTGTCAATCGCCTCAAATGTTAAAGAGTACAGAAATTATAAATTTACTTGACAACATCTTCATCATCAACCTTGGAGAAAAAAAAGTTTCTTTCAAAAAATTTTAATGATTGTTAAGAAAAAATTTGGAAGAGTTAACAAGAATGAAGAAAAAATGTTTGACTTGAAAAATTTACTGGCAATTAATTAGCGTTGGCTGGATGGGAGAATGTAGTTTCATTGTTTATGTGTATGTATGCACAACCATCCATTTTGGTTCAAGCGTTCCTTTCTAATATAATTGTTAGTTTATTGCGTGTTATTTTAATTAATTAATTAATTAGTAAACTAATTAATTTCCCGAAATTTTTATTTATTCATTCAAACTTTTGTTCGTTTTTTCTTGGTTTGTAAGTCTTAGCATTTGTTCATTTATTCATTCATTCTTTTCTTCGTTCATTCATTTGTTCATTGATTGATTGTGTTAATCACTCACTCACTCACTCACTCACTCACTCACTCACTCACTCACTCACTCACTCACTCACTCACTCACTCACTCACTCACTCACTCACTCACTCACTCACTCACTCACTCACTCACTCATTCATTCATTCATTAATTTATTCGTTCGTTCGTTCATTCATTCATTCAATTCAATTCAATCGTGCATCTAACAAGCGAAACATCAATCCGAACATGCATACATCATAATATGCACCTCCCAAATATATTTCGTCTAAATTGATCTAGGCATTCTTATACAATACAATTTCTTTGTACAATGTTTGTATATCGTTTTTCTCTTGCTCGGTTAGATGATTTGATGTGTTGATGTTGATGTTATTGTAGTTGATGTTATTGATGTTTTTATTAATGTGGTTGATGTTTTTAATGTTGTTGTTAGTGTAGTTGATGTTATTAATGTTTTTGTTAGTGTAGTTGATGCTATTGATGTTGTTATTGTGGTTGATGTTATTGATTTTAATGTGTTCAATGTTAAGGTTGCACTGTTTTCATTGCTGATGTTGTTCTATTGTGCCATCTTCGTTGATGTCATCTATATTTTTTGTTGTTGTTGTTGTTGTTGTCTTTATGGTTATTAATGTATGGATTGTTGTGATAAATGATTGGGTTGGAGCTAACATGGTTTATGACTTCGTGTTGACAATGATTCAAGTTTGTCATTAACTATAATTATATAAAATAATAATATAAAAAAGAATAGTAACATCAATAAGAATAATAAAAACATCAATAAAATAAAAATATCAATAATGACAAAACTACTACTACTACTACTACTACTACTACTACTACTACTACTACTTCTACTACTACTATTACTATTACTACTACTACTACAACTACCACTACAACAACTACTATTACTACTACTACTACTACCACTACCACTACTACCACTACTACTACTACTACTACTTATACCACTAGTAGTATTGATAAGATCAATAATTGTAATAATAATAAGCGCAATAATAAGAATAACAAAAAAAAGTATTTTTTTATTATTACCGGTTTTGAGACACACGAAATATCGGCTTAGACATTTATAATGGAAGCAAACATGAAGTCTCGATGATGATGACGATGGTGATGATGATGGTGGTGATAACAATAAGAATAATAATAATAATATTTATTCTAAATGATAACGATTATGATAACGGTGGTTTCGGCGCTGATAGCGATGATGACGATGATGATGACGTTACGTCGTGAGTTTTGATGATAAGAATTGAAGATAAGGAAAATATTATACAACTGGAAATATATTATGACAATAATTACTTATAATTATTTATTATAATTGATTATAACAACAATATATAGATTTAGATATTCGAAATTTTATAAATAAAAATTCTGTTTCTGAAATTTCAAATACCCATGACATGCAGATCGTAGAAATTGCTTCCGAAAAGTCTCGACTATGAGTATAAAGGCGAGGTTGTAACGATGTGGAAGACAATGATGAGGATGGCAGTAACTGAAGTGATGATGCTAAAAATGATGATGATGATGTCGACGAAAATGGCGTCAACACTAGGTCTATTAATATATTAATTAATGACACTGCAGTCTGACTTATGACGTGACAAAGTGCGAAATCATATTCGTCGTCGCCATCCTTATAATCATTTTTTTTATCAATATCATTTTGCATATTATTAAATTGTTATAAATGCAGTGAATAATATTTTTGATAAGTGTTTTTTCTAAAATTTACTCCACAATTTTCACGATAAATTTCGATTAATTCTTAATGCGAGGTTATTTATCAGCTAAGTAACAGTTTTTGTTTTGAGGTTTTATGCAATGAAGTGTTTTAATTATTTACGAACGTCATTTTTACTGGCTTTTATTCTTTAAAATTATTTTTAATGTAGCTTAATATCAGTTTGCGTGAATCTGGAATAATTCTTAATTGCATTTTTATGATTTATTTTGCGTTATTAAAGCAGTTTTAAATTTATTTTCTTATATTTAAATTTGTGACTAAAAACAATTTGTAATTTTTGCAGTACTTGCGAGCACAAAAAACAATACAACCAGCACCACCACCATGTTTCGATCATTTGGAAGAACTCCCAGAATGCAAAAATGAACAAACATCACCAACATTATTTTGCAAACAACAACAACAACAACGCTAATAGCAAGCAATGTTATCGCTATTGCTTTAATGAAACAAAAACAAATCCAACATAAATAACAAGAGCAGAAAGTAACAACAGCATCAAGTCGTCATCATCATCATCATCACAACAATAACAACCACAACAGCATCATCATCACAACAACAACATCAACATCATCATCAATACAACAACAACCACAACATCATCATCACAACAACAACATTAACATCATTAGCACAACAACAACAACAAGAGGGACATCATTATCATCGCCACTTCATTGGAACCAACACTGTCCCAAGAGATTGCCTGCCGCGTCTAATAAAATTACAGAAATGAGAACAGGGAAAAATAATAAAACGCCAACAATTTGTAATTAAGCGACGACGACAACATTAACAACAACAACAACCACGGCTAATCAAGTGCATCATTTACATTAATAACACTAACATGATGATATTAAAACAACAGCAACATTTAACTACAACTGCAACACATTGAATATACCAACAACAACGAACAAGGTAACAACAACACACATAACAACAACGAAACAATGTAATAAAAACATCAACAACAACACAAACCATTAATGACATCAACTAAAACAACATCAACACCACTAATAACGATATCAACAACAACAACAAAAACAACTTAATTATGTCTAAACACCTACGTAGCTAATAAGACAACATTCCTATTCCAAACAATTGCCATCCTAGCAAGTTTAATGACGTCTACCTACATATAGCGCTAATAACATTGGCATGATTAACAGGCAAGATTTAATATTACAGACGCTACATGTGTGTTAATATTTACATCATTAAATAGAACCTTGAATAAATAATAAATTTTTAACATGACGCTAACTGTGATTTCAATTTTTAAATGAAAAATTAACCATAGATATATGAGTTGAATGAAATTGTTAATTGAGCATAACAAACAGTAACACAAAAACTACATGAAGATGTCAGTCTTTAAACTCATTGAAATCTGATTAGCCGAAATTTTGAAAATGGTTGGAAAAGGCAAAACAGCATTCACAACTCTCACCCCTTCCGATTCAAACCACGTGATGCATTCATCGTTACGTCATCAATTACGCCACCAGCCACATCAACCACAACAGCAGCTGCAGCAGCAGCAACAACAACAAGTTCAAAATCGAGAAGAATCGAATGCCAGTTCAATGCAATATTCGTCGTTCGCTTGCCCACGCTGTTCCGAGAATAAAGATTTATGGAAAACCAACAAAAAAATTTCAAAAAGTAGCTGTCGGAAATATATCTATGGTTTTCTGTTCGTTGCCATGCCAACCTTTTTTTGGATACTTTTGACTGTTTATCTCTTCACAGCTTGCAAGCAGGTCAGTACATTTTGTGTTCTTTGCTTTTTCGTTATTGATATTATTGATGTTGTTGACGTTGTTGATGTTGCTGGTTGGTTTGTTGTTGTTGTTGTTGTTGTTGTCGTTGATGTTGTTGGTTATGCGTTTGTATCACACCGACAACAAAGCAGCTCTTATCGTTATTACACATTTTTTTTTCAATGTAGTTTGGTAAGAGAAAATATTAATAATATTATTATTCACGAATATTATTAATATTATTATTCATGAATATTAATAATATTATTATTCATGAATATTAATAATATTATTATTGACAAACATATGCGACGGTGAACTTAAAAAAATGAAAAAATTATCAAAAGCAACAAAAACAGCTGTAAAAATTACCATGCATTTACATCAACAATAAAAAAATAAACAAAACAATAAAAATAGCAATAGCAATATTAATAATAATAACAATAAAAATAATAATATAAGCGGAGCCATCCAGCACCAGCCCTACTTACTTGAAAATGCCAATAAAAGGATGATTATTCCAAATGATTCACTCAGAGTTTGACAGCTATGCTCTTGTTTGAACAGACTTCACGCACGTTTTATATTTCTGTTTGGGTTTTTATTTTCATCATATCACTGTATTACTATCTTAGCACTTGTTACTTACTAGCAAGTAAAATGAAACAGGGTTGATGTTATTTGGTAGAGGTGTTTAAGAATTATTGATATTATGTGATGTTTCTATGTGTATGTAATGTGCAAGTGCGTTTTTGTAGTTATGATTGTAAGTATTTTAAAAGTATCATATTAAGAGAATTAGTTAGTTTCGCGGTGAAAGTTACAATATAACACGATTCTATTAGCAAGCATATAAATTTTGTTTTAACATTATTATAGAAAATTGAAACGTTTAAACGATATAACTAATGAATAGAAGTATTTAGTTTGAAGTCGTTTAGCTAATCTTACCTTTCAAATCAAACGGCGAACAACTTTTTTTTCTTTTAGAACAAGTCTTTGCCGAAATAATTCAAAGAAATCAAGAAAAAAAAAGAAAAATAAGTAAGAAAAATAACCTGCATGCGATGCCAAACCGCTGGTCAATAATTTTGCACTGCCCTCCATAAAAAATTATTGGAATCATGTTCGAGCAGTAGAGAAGCGGTTGCAGTAGTAGCATGAAAATTTATGAGTCTCCCAAGCTAGGTCTCCTGCCTGTCAATGAGTTGTCGTTCATTCTTCTGCTCGTTCGTTTGTTCGTTCGTTCGTTTGTTCGTTCGTTTCTAAGTCTGTTCGTTTGTGGCAGTACGTGATGTGAAGTTACCAGTTTCCTACGTTAGCTTGCTCACTTTCTTATTTAATTGTTACATTGTATGGCAGTTTTCGTCCAATTAACATTCCTGGTAATGTGGCACTGCCTAACGCTGTTTGATTTTGAGTGAATGAAAATATAAAAAGTAAAAAAAAGGGGCCAAATAAAAATAAATGAATAACTTAATAATTAGAAAAACAAATAATATTAAATATGTGCTTGCGTGTGTATGTGTGTGTGTGCACTTGTGTTAAATGTAAACCCTTTCATGATTAATACAAACTCTCTCATTTTCATTTAGCGGAATCATTTTCAATTTTCAATTTCAACTAAGTTTTTAGAATTTTTCTGGAAATATTTAACAATTCTGTTCATTTAAAAAATTGTTTGCTTATGCCTAAAAACAATCCGGTTATTAAAAGAGGAAATTACTACAGATAAGTTGACGGGGGCAGTTAAAGTTTTTCGGTCACATCATGCGGAAGGAAAAAACATTCGTGAAGTCCTTGGGTCACTTGTTGAATATCACCACATTTCAGCAACTACAAAATGTTAAAGATCGGGTTTTGTGGAGGTCGATGGTCGTCAGTGTCCTGAAAGGATAAGGCACGAGAAAGAAATATGAAGAAAGTTCGTTTTAAATCTCTTTTACCATCTCGTTAAAACATAAACGTGCTTGAAATTTTGTTTCAATAATAATTTTGCAGTTAAATAAAAACGTTATATTTAAATAAATAATTAATATTTTAAAACATTTTTCACAATAGTCTCCTATACATGATTGGTTGAAGCTGTCGTATGGTATGTTAATTGTTTTCAGTATTTGACTGGTTTAGTTTAATTAAGCAACTCTTGATCTGTTGAGTAGCATAGGTATAGTCAGTAAAGGTTATCTCAAGTTTGTGTGACAAACTTTCGTTCAGCTTTCACAAAGTAATCAATGAAGTTTTGCTAATCCAAAATAAAAGAGAACCAGATAGACATGCCACGCGATACTTGTTAAACATTATGCAAGTTATTCCGCCACAATAAAACGACAAAGTTCCAAGAACGTCAAACTTCAAATAAAAAATGTTTTTTTTACACCTCTTTTAAAGTCAGTCCCCTAACTTGGGAATGACAGCATAAATATAAAGAGCAGCGAACAAAATATTGCTTCAATCTCTGGGAAGGCATAGAGATGCGTGAACAAAACTTCTCACGACACCTTCAAGAACAAATCTTATTGACAGATCTTGTAAAAAATGTAATGGGCTCAAATACTTTCAAAAAAAATAAAAGTTTTAAAGTTTATATGTAAAAGAGAATTATTTTTTTAATGTAATTATCAGTTCATTTTTTCATTAACGATAGACAAACAATAAACTGATTCATCTTAGCAGTACTATACGACGCACAAACAAAATTGTGTTCATTTAATTTATTTTTAAAATCAGTCAAACAAACATCAAACAAACATCATATTATCACACTATTCAGTTCATCAGATGACACAATTTGAAATTATTCCATGAAAAGTCAGTTAAATTATCATAACTTGGAAAATAATTAACTCAATAATGATGCATCACAGCAAGAAAGCTGAAACCGATTTGAAAGTTTAATCGAATTTGATGGTAGTGGCGAATGATGTGGATGCACTCCGCGAACATTCATAATTGATGCCCCATCAACTTCTCACGGTTTTACTGCACGCCTCTTCATTGTAGATGCACAGATTTTAATGAACTTGCTTAGGGAAGGTATTGTGTACATTTGCACGAACACTTGTTATGTACATGTATTTATAATCAAAATTTTCTTCTCTGGTAACTAGCTCATGGCTGATGCATGTGTGTTGAATAAGTGTATACGTGTGTATAGATACCTGTATATATATATGAATGTATAAAACCGTTGTGTAAAACAAAATGAGGCTACCCATACAAATAACGGAATAGTTATAAAAACAAATAAATTTTGGGTTTAGACTATCATAAATACAATTATTTATAAAGACCACTGCGTTTTTGGCATTATTCAACCTTAACTCAACTACAGGTTGAATAATGCCAAAAAAGCAGTGATCTTTATAAATAAAAAACAAATAAGAAAACCTAAAATTACATGTATAGTGGGAAAATCTTGGCTTATGAACTAAGTGTTTATGAAATTTGTACAGAATAGATAATCTAAAGTAACAATGATAATAATTTGTAAGAGTGTACACAGGATGGAATCTTGGAATAGTTGTAACTCAGTCTTCAAAGAATTCTATGATGATATTTACATGTGCTAGCAATCTAACAACAATCAAATTGTTTTGAAATGATGTACATGTAATGTTAGTAAATAAAAGAAAAACATGAAACATTATGTGAAGAAGAAGAAATTAACTCATTGACATAACGGCACGTGAGGCTGTATGACTTTTTAACGTGCAAACCACTGTGAATATATAGAGAGAGAAAGTTCCAATATATCTGTGCTTGCCTAATTTTTTTATTCTTAATTTTCTGTTCAATCTTATAAGACCTATGATCAAGGTAGTTTTTTTGACACATTTTACATATTATCTTATTTCTACTTCTACTGTTACTAATTTCAAAATTTTGTCAGATAAATTTTCATTAAGAGCCTGTATAAAAAGATGGAATGACATTCAGTCAAATGGAAAGTTTTTAATCTCCGTCCTGAAGCTCAGGGCGACAAAAGAATGCAAAACAAAAAAAACAACTAGCAGCGAACTAACAACTGACTGCAGATGTGGATGGAGTACAATGGAAGGGGGGGGATTAATACACGCGATGCTATATCACGAAATGCCATCTTTACCGCGTACATCATTCATTGAATATTAAATACATTAAACATTCCATTCTTAAGGAGGTTCACAGCAGTCAGGAAACTTAACTCTCTGAAGTGTGTACGCCGTTGTGTTGGTTTCGTAGAGTTTTCAAACGCCTTTCATGCTTGTTTTTTTTTATAAGTTTAATTCGCATTTGTTTGGGGTGTTAAACTTGAATTAAATTTTCAATATACTTTTGTGTTTCTTTATAATTTCATTGTTGTTAGTGTTATTTTTTTATTCGGGTCAAATTTTTTCAAGTAAAAAAAATTGTATTTAGATCGATTTAATGATTAGACTTTACAAAATTAAAATATAAAATTAAGTTATTGCAGATGACTACGAAATTCTAAATAAAATATTACTAAACAAATCGGTGGCATATCACAAATTCTTCTTTCTAGAAATAAAACTTAGAAATTTAAAATTAAAATTATCTTAAAACAGCCCAAGACGTTAGTACTAGTGAACTACTATACTACACTGGCTTCACAAATGAAATATGTCTTTAGCCAAATTTATATTTTGCTTTTGAATTAAGTTTTTAATATTTTTTCAAAAAGTTACTTGTTATGTATTAATAAGTGCTAATATTACTACTGCACCACTATCGTTTATGTCACAGAGATTAGGAAAACATCAATGTACAATTGTTTCAAATTGCAAAAAGTGGAAAATAAATACCATTGTATACAACTTACGCTGCGTATATACCATACCGAGTTAATGTTTTTCTTTTATTCTATGGCTAACATTATGCAAATCTACTCATCTTGTTTTTGTTGATGATGCCTTTGTTGTTGTGGTTGTTGTCGACGCTGCTGCTGCAGCTGTTTTCGATGTTGTCGTTGGCGCGTGAAGCTATTATTTTTCAGATTGTTATCATTTTTTTTCATTGTTGTACGTTATTCTTGTTGTCTATTATTAACTTGACTCTGTTGTTAGTTTTATTATTTTGTTGTTGTTGTTGTAGGTTTTTATTATTTTATTGTTGTATCATGTTATTGTCTGTTTGTTTTTTGTAATTTTCATTGTTGTTTTTATATGTTTTTTGTTATTTTGTTGTTTTGAGCGGAATAGGATTGGGCGTTGGTTTATAGTTTTGTATTTTTATGGCGACTTATGCAGCTCTTGTTTTGTTGTTGTTTGTTGCAGTTGAATGTAACATTATTTTGCTGTTGTTCTGATGTTTCTGTTGTTTTATTAGAGGTGATGGTGACAGTGGAGTAATATAAATGCAATAAAACACAGTCGAAGGATTGGATGGAAAAAATTTGAAAAAAGAAGATACACAACAACAACTGCCGTTTGTAACAATGATTGTATCGCAAAATCACCAAACAGTAAACAACAACAACAAAATAAAATAAAAGAAAAACAGAAAAAAGAAGTAGAAATAAGTTAAAAGGAACAATAAATATTGTACTTAACACGATGGGTCACCTAAACTAAACACTCATCGGCCCTTTCAATGCACAAGAACGCAAAACGAAAACAATAAACAACAACAAATCTTCTGAGAACCAAAGAAAATGAAAAGCAGAAAAACGATAAAAATAGGAAAAACAAAATAAAACAGAAAAACATAGAAAGAAAAACAGATCAGACTTAAGTAGCAAGGAGTCGGCAGCGCCAGAAATATCTCATAAATATAAAAGCCCTCTCCTTTTCCCTATGAGGAAAAAAACTTTATATGATACAACACTACATCAAGCAGCCAGTCTGCCTTTAATTACATTGTATAAAACTAAACCATGCTTAGCGAAAATGAGAATATAAATTATAAATATTATAATTAATTGCTTGATTAATAACAAGGCAGTATTGAAAAAATAGTAAAAGATTGCAGGCGGACAATGCTAGCCGAAGATTAGCGTAGAAGGCAAGATATATGAGTGTGTCCATGTTTCAACTAGCATGACATGCGAAGATTGAGTGATATATTGCCTGCCAGACGGACTCTCTGACCGACAGATTCATCATAAATCTCAGTCTGTCGCCCGCTGGCATTGTACAAATAAGAAACATTATGATAATGTAGATTTTTAATAAAGATGGATATATTGCCAGTCTGCAGGCGTGTGTATCTACAGTTCTCACATCATTGCAGGACATGCACGCGAATTAAATAAATAGAATTAATCGTGGTGATTAGTTATATTACCGTCTCGGAGAATGTAATTAATGTTGTGTCAGCAAAAAATAAAATAAACGCAAAATAATAAATAGAGTATATAAGAGCAAGAGTAGTTATGGTATATTTATATTTCGTTTGGTCACCCATTCTATCGCCGATCATTCATTTACGTCATCCTCCATCCTCCAACTCACCATGAAAAGATGTTGACCAACATCCTTTTTAAATATTCGGCATTACATCAAACACCAACGACATCCTATGAAAAGGTCCTCTTGTTAATGTAATTCCAACAATGACAACACGCAGACATTAAGACTGCTACATACTGCGCTGTCTTCTGATTCTTCTTCTTTGAAAAACAATGAAACACGTGACAGTGAGAGCGCGAAAGTTCAAAGGTCAAACTATGATGATGACTTTACGCATCTGATTCCTTCAAGATAAGTCTTCTGTATGTGTGTGGTATGCTCGTTTAAGTGCAGTTTTCCGTTTGAGGTTCTCAGAATTTTCAACGAGCGAACGGACGAACGGAGTTTCATTGAATTTCATTTAGTTTAACATTTTTATTCATGTATTTGCACTGAGTTTGAATCGTCGGCATGCTGATGTTCCCGTTCGATGTATTATCTAAAGAGTTT